GTGTGTGTGTGTGTGTGTGTGTGTGTGTGTGTGTGTGTGTGTTGGGGGGGGCGGAATGTTGCCAAATGTTCTTCTCTGAAAAAGGCTTTATTTTATGTCTACTGTTGAATTAGGAGTGTTGGCATCCCTTATTAATTTTTAATTTTTTTCCAGGTCAATGAATGGTCATTGAAGATAAGAAAAGAAATGAGAGTGGTTGACAGACAAATAAGAGGTAAATTATCGTTTTGTGTTTCTTATTCGCTACTTTCTTGTTATATTTTGCTTTAGTTCATGAAAGTAAAGTATACCTGTATGGTTTTAGAAATAATAATATTATATATGTATGTGTGCATGTATGTGTATGTGTATATGATTATTTAAGTTAATTCGTAAACAGTTCCTGGATGGTGCAAGCAGTTTGCACTCAACTACTAATTTAAAGGTGACAGTTCAAAACCATGCAGTGGAAGAACAGCCTAGTAATAGTTTATTCTATGCTAATTACTTGCACCTATTCTAATTACTTTGCTTTCTAATTCTATAATCGGTGTAAGGAAAACAAAAGATACAATGAGTTTAAAGAAACTTTACATTTTGTATTATAGAACAAAAGAGCCTTACTAGTCATAAAGAAATGTCTTTTAAGGATTTTAAAGCCGAGAAATTGAATATAAATAAGGAATGCACTCCCTTGAAAAAAAAGGTAGATCTGTATTCAGAAAATAGTGAAGAAATATTTAAATATTGATATGAACTTTAATTTAACATTCTATTTAGGAACAGTATAGTCCAGATGTCAAAAATCTAACCTATGAAGATAAGATCTCTGGACAATAGCTATTGTTACTGTGTGCTTACAAATAATGGGTAGTTTATTTCTGTTAACTGGCAGATTTTCTTTGATTAAAAACAGGAAATGAATTTTTAAAAAATAGTAAAGGAAACGTGTTTCTTGCCATGATGAAGCAGACAGTTTTAGACTTTCACATAATAAATATATAGAAAACTGGACAAAATCTATGAAACAATTATTTTCAGACACTGGACAGGAAACTGGCAGTGCAGGTTTGTGAATACTGAGAGAAAGGAAGTAGCTATGATCTTGACTCTCTGCCTAGAGATGCTTTCTGATTAAAGTGCCAGGGATGGAGGTCTCAAGCAGAACATGATGATCTCACTATGTTGAAAACACAGAGATCAGAATTTGGAGAGACTGAATTGGCTGGAATTTGTGGGACAGAGTATGAGAGGAAGAAACTATCCAGATAAAGACCCCCAGAAATTCTGCATGGGGTCTGTGCTAAGGGAGAAACAACCCCGAATTAAATAACTATATATGTAACTATGTGCTTATATAATACATGTTATGTTGTTGTTAAGTGCCTTTGAGTCAGTTCCAACTCCTTGTGACCTTATATAGGATTTCCAAGGATCAGCCATGGGTTTGAACAGCCAAACTTATGATTAGCAGTCCAGTGTGTATTCAACCAGGATTCATTCTCTCTCTGTCTCTTTTGTTGTTGTTAAGTACCGTAGAGTTGGTTCCGACTCATGGTGACTCTGCACAGGGTTTCCGAGGCTGTGAATCTTACTCCCGTGTAACCCGACTTGAGTTTTGAACTGCTGACCTTGAAGTTAGCAGTCCGATTCGTAACCACTATGCTATCAGAGCTACCACTCTCTCCCTCTCTGTCTCTGTCTCTCTCTCTCTACCAGCTCTGTGTAACAGCTGGTATATATATATAAGTAGAGAGAGAGGAGAGAGTGGCAGCTCTTTCCAAGTAAGCTCTTAGTCCACTTCTCTCATCTTTCTTCTGATAGAAATGATGCTGGAGATCACATTATAGAATTTTACAGGACCATATACTTCGTCATTGCAAATAACTTTTTAAAACAATATAAAAGATGATTGTACACATGGACTTCACCAGATGGAATACACACAAATCAAATTGATTACATCTGTGGAAAGAAGTAATGGGAAAGCTTGATTGCATCAGCCAAAACAAGTCCAAGGGTAGACTGTAGAACCATCAATTGCTCATATGTAAGTTCAGGCTGAAGCTGAAGAAAACTAAAACAAGTCTACAAACACCAAAATATGACCCTGAAATATCCCACATGAATTTAGAGATCATCTCAAGAACAAATTTGATACACTAGACACTAATGACTAAAGACAAAAGCTGTGGGATGACATTATACAGGAAGAAAGCCAAAGATCATAAAATGACAAGGAGAAAAGAAATGAATGTCAGAAAATATTCAGAAACTTGTTCTCCAGCAAAGTGATGCTAAAGACTTGGAAGAAATAAGGTAAAAAAGCTGAACATAAAATATCTTGGACAGCTCGAGAAGACAAAGTCAAATATTATAATGAAATTTTCAAAGCTGTTGAGTTAGAAAACCAAAAGGGAAGAACACTTGCTCAACATTTCTCAAGGTGGAAGAACTGAGGTAAAAAATCAAGCCTTGATTTAAAATACTGGAGGATTGATTCTATGGGTAAAATATTGAGTGATGTTGTTATGTGCCGTGGAGTCGGTTCTGACTCATAGCGACCCTGTACAGGGTTTCTGAGGCTGTAAATCTTTACGGGAGCAGAAAGCCTCATCTTTCTCCTGCGGAACAGCTGGTAATTTCGAGCTGCTGACCTTGTGGTTCGCAGCCCAATTCATAACTACTACGCTACCAGAGCTCCTTATTCAGTTATATAGAAAGCATCAAAAGAAGATGGAATACACAGAGTCACTGTATGAAAAAGAAATGGTCTATGTTCAACCATTTCAAGAGGTAGCATATGATCAATAGCTGAGGATACTGAAGAAAGAAGTCCAAGGTGCAGTGAAGGGATGGCAAAGAGCAAAGGCACTGGGAATTGGTGAAATACAAATTGAAATCTTTCAACAAACTGATGTAGCACTGGAGGCACTCACTCATCGCTACCAAGGAATTTGGTAGACAGCTTCCTGGCCAACTGATTGGAAGAGATTGTGTTTGTGTTTACATCCATTTCAAAGAGAGGTAACCCATGGAATATGGAAATCATTATACAGTATCATTAATATCACATGCAAATAAATTTTGCTAAAGATAATTTTAAAGCTAGCAATGAAAAGATAAAACAGAGGAAAAAAACAAATATAGGAAACAAAAATAAGAATGATTATAAATTTCTCATTTGAAACAATGCAAACTGGAACATCTTTAATGTAATGAAAGGGGGCGGGGAAAGAAACCACAACATGTCAGTCTAGAATTTTATGTCCCATGAACGTAGTCTTCAAAAATGAAAGTGAAATAAATACATATTTTTTAAAATAAAAGCTGAGAAAATAGGTTACCAAGAGATCTGTTAAAGTTGTGTTGCCACAAGAAATTTGAAAGGAAGTTCTTTAAGTTGAAGGAAAATTGTAACTGAAAAGAACTTCAGTCTAACACAGAATTGAAGAACTGGAGGAATGGTGACTATGTGAGTATAGGTAGTTCCCTACTTAACTGTGGATTCAACATATGATTAACTATTATGAATGTACTTTTAACAATTATTTTTTTAAAAAATCAATGAATTATTCACTATCACTCTGTATAGTCTACATATTACTAAACGGTAAATTTTCATCATGGACGAAACAGACTTGTTTTGAAAAAGAATGCTAGAATGGGTCTGTGTTCACAAAGGAAGTAGCTTCATTGCCTGCTTTCAAAGCATTTAAAGACAGACTGATGCTACTGCTTGGAGGAATGCTGCTAGATTTAAATTTAAACCTTTTCTTGTTTACCACTCTGAAAACACCCAAGCATTCAAAACATTGACAAAAACAAACTGCCTATCTACTACAGGAATAATTCCAAGTCCTGGATGGCAGTTGTGCTATTAGAGGATTAATTCTGAAATTGTTTCATCCCAGGAATGTACACCTGATGCCTTGAAAAGAGTATTCCTTTCAAGATTCTGAGGCTACTTAATACTGCTACAGGCCGGTTTCTTCATGTAGATGACCTAAATCAAAAGGTGAAAATGGTGTGTTTACCTTCCGATATGAGAGCTGTGATTCCGCCCTTTGGATCAAGGTGCAATTGCCACCTCCAGGGCATAGTACACTTACTATGTTTGCTTAGGCAAAATCTATAGCATATAGAAGTATGGTAACATTGTGTGATTTCTAGAAGAATTATAATGTTCCTTGGTGTATCCAGAACATTGCATCTTTTTGGGAGATAGTTACGGGAAAATGCATGCAGGAGCTATGAAAAAAATTGCTTAGTTATGTGAACATTCTCCAAGCATCTGATCAGGATAATATAATGGATGAGATTAGTGGGAAAATCATTCATATGGCAAGAACACTGAATTTAGAACTTGATATTGCCAGTGTGGAACAACTCATAGATGATGAAGAAAGGGACTTGACAGATCAGGACTAAGTAGATTTTGAAAAGGAAAGAAATTCTGAGGAACAAAGATAAAGTGAGAAAGAAGGAGAGCAATCGCCCAAAAATTTTACAGTGAAATTTAAAAAATAAATCAGGGGCTTCAGTTGCTTGAAAACATGGACCCAAATGTTGATTATTTGTGAAAGTTAGTAGACAACTTTGGTAACAGAGATGTTCCTGAAAAATATATGAAGAAAAAAACAATAGCTAACTCTGAATTTTCTAACTAGAAACTCCATCTCCATTCCCAGTGGTAATCCAGATGATCAGAATCTTCGTCAGTGGAGTTATTACCACAACTGAGAATATGCCAGTGTTTTCGTATACTTTAACATAGAAGTAAATTTTGATGATTTGTGTATATATGTATGAACATGTGTGTGTAAGTTTATGTAATGCTTCCAACCCCAAATTACAAATAAAGTTTGGAGTTATAAAGATACTGGTAATAAAAGGCAATAATAATTAAAACGTTAAAAAAAAACTTTCTGATATTTGTCACAACCAACTTAACAACCGTCATTGGACTGGAACTCTGTCATAAATCAGGGACTTCCTGTAACTACAAATAACTTTTTATCTTACTCAATTTTTTTCAAAAATTATTACCCATTAAATAGTAAGTATATATAAGTATATGTAAATATATAAAAATAGTAAGTATATGGGGAGGGGGTTGTAGCATGTAGAAGTAAAATGCATGACAAATAATGGCACAAAGATGGATTAGTATCATCTTTAAAAACTTCATAAATTCAGTTACTCATACACCAAACACCAATCTTAATTGTTGTT